AATATACGTGTCATTTTTTAATTAGAATATTAAATTGGGACAAGGTAGTAACATTCTTTTTGTCATTTAGACTTATTTCAGTTTTGTGTTACTAAAACCTCTACTAACGCCCATATTCACTTCTCCTGAAAATATGAAGTTAATTACTCTTCTTAATTCCCATAACTGTCTGTGTATATGCCTTTGATAACATTGAGTTGCAAAAGTTTTGGATGTTTAATGTACGTTTTTCAAAATTGGTACAATGTACTACGGTCTACGAAGTGTTTTTGTACTCCGTATAAGATAGTACGTAATACACAACACACACAAATCCCGGTTTTTTGTAAATCAATTTGTAGTCGTGGGGAAATTTGTTTAAAATTTAAAAAATGAACAGTCGTAAAAGTCTTACAAAAAATTGTCCTATAGTTAATGTTTATACTCTTTTTTGAACGTTTGCACTCTGTGATGTGAACTAAAATATAATAGGTCTCGTTTCGAAAAGTTTTACTCAATTTATCATTTTAATAAGACTAAGGGGCTGTTTACTTGTGACTTAATGGACTTAATAGGAATTGCGACTTAATGATTCAGGTATATATTGATGTTTACTTCCGACTTTATTAAAATTATGACTTATTCGCTCAGTCGTTTCTTGACTTATTCGCTCAGCCCTGTTTTAGTACTCCTTACCGTTCAGACGCATAAATTGATTGACGATCTCTATTTTATCCCCGTTCTGCCGCGTAGGGGGTTCCATGTGCAATTTACATCCTATTCTTTTTCTCCTGTCAAGAAATCAGCAAAAACACCAGCGAAGAAAGCTTCCATGGCCGCTCATCTTCATTCTCGGATATTTTGTTGAATTATTAAGTTTTGGTTGTTTGTTCGAAATTGTTTGTTAGAATAGAAAATTCTGATTTTTGTTGCTGTAAACCCAAATTTTTATGAAAGCAGAAGCAAATATTACGTAGTATACCCTTAACCCTGACCGAGTTTTTTCAATAGTTGCATCTTTCAAGCTGTTATCGGAACCTAAAGCTTCTCTGGTGTGGTGACGGCCACTGTTTCTTCACATATGGCGCATATAAACTTTTTGGTCCATTCATTTCCTTGCAACATCAATTGTTGAATCTTAATTGAAATTTTGGGTGCTTCTTAAACTTGTCTTGAATGATAAAGGAGGAGCAATTGCTATACGAGTATCTCATTTGGTTGCTTCCTCAAATGTATTTTTTGCATTTCTGGTGCAGATTTTCTTCATTTTTTTTGGTAATTTCTTGATTTGTAAACCAACACTCTTCATTTTTAAGTAAATAATAAGCACTTATGATTTCTAAAATCGTTAAATTGGGCGATTTGCCGAATGTTGATGTTTAAACAGCCCAAAGATGGGTAAATTAGTAATTTGAAATAATTCAGACCACACATTCAGCACTCAAAGTAAACATATCGTTTTCTTAGTTTTCTTAGTGTCACTTAATCTGGACAGACGTCTTTATCCAGTCAGACGTCTTTATCCAGACAGAACTTAATGAAAAAAAATAGTAAACAGCCCCTAAGTAAGTCAACATAACTGATCATATTTTTACTTGTGTCTATTTTAGTTTATAAATATAATTATTATAAATAAAAAGTTAAAACATCTTTTCATGCTTAAGTTTTTGCCCATTCCTGTCCAAACATAACCCCTTGCACACTTCACATTTTCAAACACTTCACTTAGGCTTGACCTAAGTGCAACAAAATACTTAGAGGGGCACCTATGAAATGCCCGTTTCTGTAAAACAACGTTTAAGTACGATATAATTTGTTATTGGCATCAGTGACATTGATTCATTCTTTAATACGATATACTCCAAATTGGATGAAACAAAAACGAAGTATACAAATGTACTACGTAATACGAGTAATTATGATTAAGTTGAAGGATGAAGTATGGGAATGAAGGATGTTTTCTTCACAAACCTTGACCACGCTCAACAACAATTCGAGCATTTCACTCCTTTGCAATTACAAAACTGCGACTAGAAAAGTTTAAATTTTCAAATTGCAATAAAAAAGTAGGGTACTTCTACGGTACCTCATAAAATTAAAAGGTACGGTACATTTACTAACGTGGATCAATAAGAGTGAAATCTTTAAACACGTAGATACAACCGTTTTATTTATTTTAAAGACTAATTTATTTGCACGTTAGTCCCTATGCTAAACGTGTATTTTCACGTTTCAAGTAATCAAGTAAACGGACAAGAGGCACAAATGTACAAGTTTCCAGCAAACGCTCTCCGCATAAACGCATCAGGAAAACTGCAGAAGTGTTGGAATTCTGTAAAATTCATTAGTTTTGATTTGGGGTGTAGTGTCGACTCACCTTGGTACTTCAGAGCATAGAGAAGACGCAGAGCAGTTGCAATTTCTCTTTCAGATCTGTTTGCCTATGTACAGACCGATTGTGTTCTCTTTATATTCACATCTACTAAAGACATACAAATAGAGTACAAGCAGGGACGGATCCAGGAATTCAGTTCAAGGGGGCGAATTTTTTTCATTAGTGTAAGAGGTCAAGAATTTTCCGCTAGTGTAGCAGAGCAAAATTTTTCCGCTAGTGTAGTGGGGCGAAATTTTTTGATAGTGTAGTGGGGCGAAACTTTTTCGCAGTGTAGGACTCTGCGGCTAATTTATGTTAAAAAATCCATGAGTCAATGCACGGTGACATTTAATCTATTACATTCAGATTTTAGACAATGAAAAAGTAACAATGTTTCAATAATTCTAAGTGCTCTATAAAATTTTAAAGTGCTCTATTAAAAAAATCTAAGTGCTCTATAACATTATTTGAAAATAAGAAAAGATATAACATTTTATCAAAATATTTGAAGGTAAAGAGTTTAAAAGGTACACATGAACCGAAGCTTTTTGAATAACTTCTGCTTTGTTTAACCACATGATCTCATCAGATTAAAGAATCGGGTTTTGAATTGCAATTTTTATCTAGGAATTTTATCAATTCAGTACCCGAGAGTTAAACGAATTATCAATCCGGGACCTAAAAGATGAAATGCATCGATATAGGACCCGAATGATGAAAAACTATCACTTTGGGACCTGAATGATTGAAAACTATCAATCTACGACCTAAGTTGTCATAAATTTTGTAATTTTTTTATTTTGAAAATTTAAAATATTATTTAGTTTTATTAAACTAATAAACTTTTGTGAAGAAAAGTTCTTAAAAAATTAGTAATGGAATTAATAAAAAATTAAACAAATCAAAACCTATGAAATGTTATGTCCTAAAATGAAAATTTTCCATCATTCGGGTCCTGTATCGATACGTTTCATCTTTCGGGTCCTGAATTGACAGTTAATCTATCTTTCAGGTCCTGAATTGATAAAATTCCTTATCTATGAAGGAGGATATTCGTGGATGACGAAGAGTTTTCTTAATATTACAATAGTATGTATGGGATTATTAGTTTTAGAGTAATATGATATGTAGTATTGTTAATTCATGTATAAATGATGCATATTATATTTTTATTAATGCTAAAATAAATTAAAATTTAGGGAAAACTGTCAAATAGGTCCTCGAACTTTCATAAAAAGATCAATTAAGTCCTTTTATAGGAGGTTCTGTCCGGCCGTCGCGATTTGGGGCAGTTCCCGGTGGAATTTTTTGATGAAAGTTTTTGAGCATCTTATTAACCAAGTCTAGTTTACTCACACCAAATTTCAGCTAAAAATTCAATCGGGAACACATTCAAATTAATTCTTGAAGATAACTGCAAATTTTTGCGTTCTCGAATTAATTTGAATGCGCTTCCGATTAAATTTTTAGCTGAAATGTGGTATGGGTAAACTAGATTTGATGAATAAGATACTCAAAAAATTTCATCAAAAAAATCCACCGGGAACCGCCCCAAATCGCGATGACCGGACAGAGTCTCTTATAGAAGGACTTAATTGATTTTTTTATGAAAGTTCGAGGACCTATTTGACAGTTTTCCCTAAAATTTATTATCTATGCAACAAATTGGTTTTACGAAGTAAGAAGTAAACTGATTGTGTAATTTAGTGTCAACAAACATTAATATTTTGGATTTACTTTAAATAATTTAAAAACTATTTAACTATTGTGTATGATATTTAATACCATTGATATTTTACGAAATCGAGTACTAATTATCTAGCTAATAAAGATAATTAAACATTACAAAACTATGAATTTTTATATAATAGGTATCTTAAGTCTTAAACAATGAGTTGTTCTATTGTTTATTTGTTAAAATTATGTAAATTATTTTAGATTTTACTTCTTTTGAAATCTCCAATTAAACATTACAATATGTGAGCTTTATATTAATTTTGAAAATTAAAAGATAAGGGGGGCGATAACATATACATCTAATTAAAGTATGAAAATTTTATACAAGTTTTGCCCGATTGGTTATTTGTTTTAAGATAACCAGAAAAGCTAAATTTGGCGCTTGAGGAGAAATATCTTCGCCGGCGGAAAGTTGTCAGATTAGTCTCGACTCTCGAGGATTAAAATATGGATTGTGCTTCACAACTGGGTTTAGGCTAAGGATAAAATTAATGATATCACTGCGAATTGCAAAATCAAAGGAAATTTATACAAAAACTTTAAATCGCCAAGTCTAAAATTCATATGTGATCGGTAGTACTAAAGGTGCATCTATAATCCATGGTGAATTCTATATTTCTATAGACTTCTATTACTGTGAATTGAAACTCATTAGCTTTTCTCTGATTGTTACACCTCTCTTCAATTCATATTCTTAACACTAAGCAATTGATTATTTTGGAAAAGATGGTTGAATTGCATGGAAAATATAGTAAATTCATCCCTACCACTGGCCTTGCTCTGTGAAATAAGGAATTGTTATTACACACGGTAATATATATGGTTAATATATATGGTTATCATCTATGTCGTCTTGAAATCGTTAGCATAAGGACTACAAAGCAAATACTATCTATTTATTAACTGTTAGTTTAGTTGTGGGCCATGCGATTTTATTAATAGTCCGAATATGTTTTGATATATATATACGTGTTCTTGCCTTATTTGTCCACGCAAGTGAAGGTACCGTACACTACAAATTAATACATGACTCACATACACACAAAATACTCAAAACAGAGTTCAAGCAACCATTAAGTTGCAATACAGAAAGACTTTTCACTTGATCTCAACATCAATGACCTTCTTCTCCACCTTCGTCTTCGGGATGGAGATGAAAAGGACCCCATTCTTCAATTCCGCCTTCACCTTATCCTTGTCACAGCTTTCCGGCAGCTGAAGACGCGTGTCGTACGAGCTGTAACTCTTCGACCACGAATCGTCCTTTCCACCATCATCCTTCCTCTGTTCTCCCTTGATCACCAGAACGTCGTCTTCCACAGACACCTTCACCTCTTCCTTGGAGAGCCCAGGCATGTCGAACCGCATCTTAATCTCTTGTTCCTCGTCTCTGATGTCCCATGGGGCCCGCACTTCTCCGGTTGATCCGGTTCTCCCCGGGAACGCCAGGACGTCGTCGAATATCCTGTCCATCGTGTCCAGCATTTGGCGCATTGTTCTCATTGGTGACAAAGGATCTAGAAGCCCTGTTCATAGCAATCCAAGACGATTAATCAAAAATTGAGTCCACAATAATGAAATTTCAGCACTAAATGTAATCGCGAATAGATCGTTGACTCACCGAACGGGGAAGCGTCGAGGGCGGACATCCGGCGAGGGCGGCGCTCGACAGCGCGGTTGCCGTCGTTGGTGCTGACGGCGGAGGATCCACCTTGATTGCTGCTTACGCGATGCACGTCGACGGAGGTGTCCTGGCTCTGATCTCCACCGGAGGACTGAGCTATGAGTTTGAACGGCCTTCTAACACCGCGGGAAGAAGGGAGTGAGACGGAGCAGGGACGGAATGTAGAGAATTTGGGGGTTTTGTTGGAAACGGAGGGTTTTGATGCGACCAAGCAGGAAGCAGAGCATTGTAGAGTATTGGTAGCCATTGAAGTAATTAGGAATTGATTTGAAGCTAGTTCGCTGATTTAAGCTGAGTTTTACTGAGATGGGAATGGGAGGGAGAATGGGTATGGCTTTATAGGGAATTAAGAGAAGGTACGAGAGAAATCTTGAACGTGGGAGTTTGAAGGAGAAACCGAAGTCCCTGTTCGACCCGCAGTCGCTTCTCCTATCTTCTCGAAACGTCCTTCTAGTATCATTATAGATAGTATTTCGCTCGGATTGGGATCTTCTGCCCGACTATGACGGTGCCTTGCGCATCGGACGGTCGGGCAGTAGCAAAGCAGGCCTCGAGATTAGCGAAAAAGTGGAGTCCAAGATCTCCGATCGTTAAATTGTTGATCGGACGACCCGGAAGAAGCAAGACACCCTACCTTACTTTAAAGTAAGGTAGAGGCTCCAGATCTATTTCGCTCAAGCTGTTAAGTATACTCCCTTCTACACTCTTTACATACTCATTCCCTCTTTTTAACCAGTTTTCCGTTTTCTTGACAAAAAAAACTTAATTATTAATGATAAAAGCAACAAAAGATAAATAATACTGTATAATAATTTGATGTTACATTGGGATGAGATAAACTTATTTATGTGGTGTGAAAATATTTTTATTATGTTTTATGACAAACATTGAATACTAAATTAAATTTTTAGTAGAAACTAGACTAAACTCAAATATCATATTGTGAATGTTTATTTATATATTTTTGATGAAATATACTCCGTATTTTAAATAAAAAATGATGGAAAACTTAATATTATTAGCATTCGATTTATTTTCGTAAAACACTCTACTAGTTGGGATTATTCTTGAGAACTTTTCAAGTATGGATTATTTTTGTAAAATGTGTAAAAGTAGGAATTATTGGTGTCAATTTTGTCAATTAATAACGGTTTTTTAACGGTTCCGTTGACATATTTTTTTGTAGATAGAACCATTTTTAGGGGGTTAATTAGGTTATCCAAAACAGGGCCCCCGGATTTATGGGGCCCCAGTTTTTTAAAAATTTATTTGTATTATATAGTAATACTATATACGGAATATTAAAATACAGTTAGTAAAGAAGAAAAATATAGATCCATCATTTTTCGTTGATCCTTTTAGTTCTCTTCTATTCAAATTGCTTTAATAATGAATTGGGTTGATCTAAATCAAGTATTAAGTAAGTTTTAGAAAAAATATTACATTATAAAATGAGTATGCAATTGATTAGAAGGTAAGTATTTAGATTGAGATTTTTTAAAAAATTTTACATTAATGTGGGGCCTCGATTTTATGTTTGGAATCAGGGCCTCCAATTCATTAGACAGACTTGAATTGTAGAAACTAGGAATCGAACCGTTAATAGACAATAAGAATCGAACCGTTAACAAATTATAACTTATGTGTAGAAATCGAACCGAACCGATTTTAAATGGTTCGGTTCCAACGGTTTTTGTTGGTCCGAAAATCCCACCCCTAATCCACGCTCGTCTTTTTTGAGAGAATTCCCTAAATAGGAGTAAAAACGTTTTCAAATTCCCAAAATAGGAGTATCATATTTTTTATTCCCTAAATAGAAGTAAATTTCTGTCAAGTTTGGCATTACAAGGTTTTAAACATGGCATTTTTTCCAAACTTGGCAGATTACTCCTATTGAGGGAATAAAAAACATGATACTCCTATTTTAGAATTTCAAAACGTTTTTACTCCTATTTAGGGCAATTTCTGATCTTTTATTAATGACATTGAATTTGGTATGACATTGAATTTGGTTTTATTGGTAAGCATCATATTTGTGCTTTTGACTACTCTAATTTCAATTGGTTTCTTAACCTATGGTGAACACATATGGTGAGGTACACAAATAGGTACTCAAATAAACTACACTATACAAGCACAACGATACAACATTTTTAAAATATTGTTTAAGAGCACAAAATTATTCGATCTGATTGTATGAAAAATAGATTTATAAGTGCTTACCTAATATCAAATAAACTAATGGCTCGCACATTCTTATTTATAGTGCTGAATACAGGGCCGGCCTTGACTTATTAGAGGCCATGTTCAAAATTAAATATGAGGCGATGAAGTATAAAACACAATATTAATACTTCCACTGTTTTTAAACAATAGTCTCCTTAGGTTTTTGTTGTTTTTAAGAAGAAAATAATATGGGTAGTATAGAGGTGTAATGTAAATGAAAAGGTAGGAAAAAGAATATATTAAGAAAAAGTAAAGTAATGATAAAGTATGAAAGAGAAAGTGCAAGTTCATCCCAAATTGCAACTATTGTGCTAATTATTGTAACTAGGCCTTATGTAATAAAGAAATTGCACAAATGTAATTAACTATTGCATTTTAATTACATATAAATAAATATTACTATTTAATGTTTGTATTAAAAAAATGCCAAGGATTTTGTATACTTCATACTGTGTATATTATATTTAAAATTTTGGGTCTTCTGAAACGAAAGGCCTTGTGCAATAGCAGTTCTTGCACACCCTCATCTATGATCGTGGCTGAATATATTATATGGAGTACTACGTAGTTCATTTAGATGTATAAAAGTAAAGTGTTGAGTTATAAGTTAATTTTTTGGGATCATAATCAAACGTAAAGCATTACATGGAATATATGTTTAAAACAGGAAAAGATAGAGATTAGAGAACAAAATAGAGAAATATTCTTTGAAGTAAAATTGAGGAAAGTATAAAAACCAATGATGTTAACTGTTAAGGGTAGGATAACAATTAAAACTAATGAAAAAACAGCTTTATTAGGTTAATAATGGAATCACAATATGACGGGAAAGATAGAGGGAATTCTTTGACGAAAACTTCAAAACTCGAAGCAAGGAAAAAATAATGTTGAGAGTGGGATTTGAACCCACGCCCTTTCGGACCAGAACCTTAATCTGGCGCCTTAGACCAACTCGGCCATCTCAACCCGTTGAAAGTAAGTTATCGTAGGCTGTATAAGACGTGTATTTTGAGAATGCTATGAGTCTATAAGACATTGAGACCAATAAAAGCTACCCGTTCGAAAGCCTTGTAGCTCACTAGCTCGTAGCAATAATTATTGCTAATAAGAAACGGTGCAATTACTAAAAAATTAAGGAATTTCCTAAAATAAGAATTAAAATGTTTGAAAATTTCAAAATAGAATTTCAAAAATATATTAGTATAATTTTGAAATGCACAAACATTTTAAGTTCTAATTTCCTAAAAATCAATAATACTAAAAAAAGTGGTAAGAAGATTCAAATGAAGATTAGAGAGATTTTAATCAAATGAGGCACCCTCAATAAGAGCATATCAATGACAGACATAGAACTGTTCTAAGCTATGAGCATCTACAATACGATTGTGCATTGGAGTTGAGATGTTAAAGTAATGAGCATGGTGTTTTCCAAATTTGGGCCAAAAATTTAGAGAAAAGGTTTATTCAAATTCATGTCCAATGCAAACGTAAAACAATAAAATGAAATAAGAAAGGAAAACTAAATAAGAGGAAAATAGCAAATACATGGTCGAACATACCTGGAGGCTTGCAAATCCCTTGTTGTCTGTGTCAGAAAGTGAGATCCAGGTCCCAATATGGACCTTGTCTTGAACTTTGCTCTAGATTTTGAAGTGTTGTGTCATCTACAATGCACCCATTTCATTTTGCATTGGAGGATAGACTTCCATTTTAATTCTACATTTGATGATGTGGATACGTAGTGCACTTGTGCATTGGAGATGCCCTAAGGGGGTGTCAAAGATTACGAATCGGGTGTCTGTCCGATTATAGTTTTATTAGTTTAATTGTTCATATTGAAGAATTTCGAGTTAGTCAGTTAGTACTAGGTAGTGATTGGTCCGACTCATATTCATTTTCTGAGTCTTACCATTAAATAATTTTTATTTGAAGAATTTTAAACATGAATATTCACCTTTTTAAAATAAAAATAAAATTCGGACTAGAATTATCTAGTAACGCGCCATGTATAACTAACTAGATCTTATTTATGAAAAGTGAGAGTTGAGAGCTTTCTCTCGAGGAAGTCGGCCACCACAAACGGACATATTCCTTTCTCTCATGCCCACCGTGAACCACTACCCGCCACCTCTCGAAGCTGAACACTTGTGTTGGTGACCTTGGTTCTCAAATTTCAGCCCCATCTGCTGCTGCCGTACAAGACTTACAAGAAGGAGCTCAAAGACACTATTCATAGTTGACTTTTGCGTTCTTTCGGTGGTTTATACAAAAATCTAAAGCCTACAAAGGGAATCCGAGATATGTGTGGGGGTCGCCTCACCTAGGCGAACCTCTTGATATATTGGTATTCTCCATTTGAGCTGTTTGCTTTCTAAAGATACTAGTCACTATCGGTTGTGATGGGCAGAGTAACTAACCGAAGCTCCAAGCTCAAAGGGACTCCACTAGAGAAGAAAACATCTTTGAGGATTCAAGCCCTGAAAGCTAAGGATGGAGAAGGGTGTATCACTTCTACTGCTATTCCTACTAAATCCGTGAGTCAGAATAAGGAGGAGGAAGCCTTTGCGTTGGAAATTGAGGAAAATGACTCAACAAGGGAGGGGGAAGATTCAGCACTAAAACACGATGTCAATGGACTGGGAGCACCTAAGGAGGTTGAGGCAGGGGAAGTTAATGGGGTATTGGTACCTATTGACCAAGCTATTGTGCATGTTGAAAGGGATGGTGGTCACACTGGTATTGTGACACCTATCGTTGAACAAAACGCAGAGCATATTGTGGGGGAGGTTGTTAAGCCACCTCCGACTGTGGAGGAAATTGGTAAACAGCCTCCTATTATTCAAGAGGAACCGATTATAGGGGATGATTCTTCCTCTCATGCTATGGATAATGGGACCTTCAAAAAAACTAGTGTTTGGAAGTCACCTTGGACTTCACTCTTCAAGGATAACAGGGAGCCGAGCAAAGGGATGTAATTGAAATACATAGAACCCGTGGGGGACTATGTGGATCTCTCCAAAAAGAGGTATGCCCTCTAGTATTGATCTATGGGGGTTTTGTTTAGTGGGGTACTTTGCGGGTAGATTTCCCAGTTTGAAGTCTATACATGAACTTGTGGCAAAATGGGGAGTTCAATGTAGTGTGAGACAAGATGACTGTGGTTGGGTCATTTTCAAATTCAAAAGTGAGGAAACAAGGAGTAAAGTACTCATGGAAGGACCTTATTCACTCTTTGGAAAATCTTTGTACTTGAAGACTTTTTCGGAGGACTTCTCATTTAATAGTGATGAATTCCTAAAGGTGCCCATTTGGGTCAAGTTTCCATACCTCCCTATGCAAGTGTGGGATGAGGAAGTGATTAGTGAAATTGCCTCTAGGGTGGGTACTTCTTTGACCACCGATAGGATCACCCAAGAAAAGGCAAGATCAAACTTTGCAAGAGTTCTAATTGAGGTAGATGCCTCCAAAGCACCCCCTCTAAAAGTGAAGGTTAAGATGCCAAATGGAAAGTTCCACAACCAAAAGGTGATCTATGAGACTTTCCCAAATTTTTGCTTCCATTGCAAGGTATATGGACACCATGCGTTCACTTGCAAGGTTATAGCCGAAATGGAGGAAAAAGAAAGGATAAGGAGGGAAAAAGTAATGGAAGAGGGTGAGTCACAACCAACATTGGAAGAGCCAAAAGAGGCTAAAAAGTTGGAAGAGCCAAAAGAGGCTAAACCCGGATGCCGCGGACAAACATAATGTCGCGGTCAAAAAACATACTGCCACGATCAAGGAAAAGCATGATGTCGTGGCTTATCAAAGGATGGTCACCAAGGGGGCTGGGGGGTCTAAATTACCAAAGAGGAAGGATCACCATCCGTTTATACAAAAGGTAAGGTTGAATAAAAGAAGGAGGACAAAGAAGAAGAGTAAGGAAGATGGGGAGATCACATCTGAGTATGAAACAAATGAGGAGGATGGCGACCCTAGAGTGATTCGAACCTTTACGGATGTGTACAATGATGAGGTCATTGTCACCATGCATACGGATGAAGTGCGCACACCTACCATTGAGGTCAAACACTTTGATGAGGTAAAGGAGCCCCCCATACGGATTAACCACCTTCTTAAAGTGGTTGAGGCTGACACTCCCGGGGTATGGTTTACAAAGAAATGCCTAGAGAGCTTGCCCGGAATTAAGAAGACAAAGAGGTTCTATAGATTCACAAACACATTCATGAAGTGTGTCTATAGACACTTTCTTGATAGATACTTTGAGGATGGGCATCCGATGGGCAATGGAAGCAAAGTGATGCACCCCAAGGACATAAAAAGAAGGAAAGCCGTGTAGTGAATGATATTTGGGAAGCATACCTAGATGATGTCATAACAAAGGCCGAGTTTGAGGAGGATGGCACATACAAACTACACCTAATGCATTCTGGTCACATAGAGAAGATGATGGTAAGGATGGGCAACTACCTAAGCTGGGATGACGGCAAGAGGGATGGAATCACCTTTACTCAAGAGTGCTTCAACTCACTGCCAGGAGCTCACGAAACGGATGAAGGGTATGATTTTTCCCATCTTTTTATGCTTAAAGTTTACCCTCTTTTTCTTGATAGGTACAAAGGGTGTGAGAGCTATAGAGAATGGGTACAACGAAAAAGGAAAAGGAATAAGTTGTACAAGAGGGTGAAGGGGAAGGATATACATTGTTAATGTTTATAGCTTCTTGGAATGTGAGGGGGCTGAATAAAGCCTCAAAACAAAATTCTATACTTAATTTTATACGACTTAACAAGGTACGTGTCTTTTTCCTATTAGAAACTAAATTATCTAGTAGTACTATTGAGAATTTTATGCGAGTTCGACTTCCAATTTGGGCGTCTACAACCAACTTTGATAAAATTGATGGGGGCAGAATGGCTATAATTTGGGACTCCTCTTTTGTGGATGGGGTGATTATGGAGGTTGATAAACAACATATTCATGCCCGATTCACTTGTAAAGTGACCCAACTTAGCTTCTATGTGACTTTTATTTATGTTGTGTATACGGTTTTGGAGAGGAGAGATCTTTGGCACCATGTACACGGATTAGGGACTAACACACCTGCTCCTTGGGTGGTTTTGGGGGATTTCAATTGTGTGTGTGACCCTTGTGAGAAGAGAGGGTCTGCCCCCCCCCCCCCCCCCCCCCCCGGCCTACCTCATGAAAGACCTCAACAAACTTAGGCTTAGATCTAACCTTAATGATGCACCTTCTACATGTGAATTCTTCACTTGGCATAGGGGTTCCATTTGGACAAAACTAGATAGGGTTTTGATAAACCATCTCTAGAGTGCTCAAAGCGTGAAATGTCAAACTCACTTCTGTGATATGGAGCCTGAGTTTGACCATGTGGCATCGTTGGTTAGGATTGGGCAAATGCAAATTCAGGGATCCAAACCGTTCAAGTTTTTCAATATGTGGCTTAAGCATGACAAATTTGAGGACATTTTGGAAAGTGTATGGCTTAGGAAATGAAAAGTGTATGGCTTAAGCATGACAAATTGTTCAACTTGTATAGTAGGAAATGGCTTAAGCATGACAAATTGTTCAACTTACTTTCTTGTAGGAAATGGCTTAAGCATGACAAATTGTTCAACTTACTTTCTAGTGGACGATGTGTAGGAGATGAAAACTCAAATTTTTAGTATTCCTTTTAATCGTATTAAGCTATTTATATTAACTTTGTTAATAGAGTAGGAGCTTCAATGTCGAATAGTTGTGATTTGTGGATCCTCAGAGTTGTATTGTGCATAATGCAGTTTTTTTTGTAAGTTTATGATAAATTGAGTTTTTATAGAGAAACAGTAGACCATGGTGACCAATGATTCATTAGTTGACATATACAAAAGGATGACAAATATCTATAATTGTCATTATTTCTTTTTTATGACACTTCAAATCTTTATCATTAATTCTTTACAATGACGAAATATTTACAAAAATGACACAACAAGTAACTTAATTGTGATGGTTTTGGTGTCTGTAGTGTCACCGCTTCTATAAGATTATAATGTGAATCGTCACCAAAAGTTATATTTTGTTGACAAGTTAAGATTTTGTCATTTAATGTGTGATTATTGGTGACAAAATACATGTTTGCATGACAAAAAAATGGATACAAAGGCGACACATTTGGCGTCATGAAAAGTGATTACTAATGATGACGAAATGTTAAAATGTCATTAAATGGTATTTATTTGGTGACGAATTCAAAATATGTCATATACACCTAATACCACGGAGCTACGATGACGATCACTGTGACGATCATAATTCGTCATATAAGAGTTTTTGTGACAAAAAAATGAATTTTACATGACGAAAAAAATTGTCACATTATATCAAAAATCTTGTAGTGAATGGTTGGGACTAAAGAGACAAATGACAACGCTAAGGAGTGCGGTCAAATGGATCAAAGAGGAACATAATGGTGCCAACATTAAAGCAAAGGCCATAAGGATATCTTTTTGTTACATGGTCTATTGGACATGGAGAACAAGGAATGCTATTATTTTTTATGGAGCTACGGCCAAGGTGGAAGATATGGTGTCACAAATCAAGTATATGGTGTATAAAGTTCTCTATTCTATATACCCAATCCATATGATTAATTTTTGAAACTTTGGGATGTGTACACCCATTTTTGTCATAGCTTGATGGCTGTTTTGGTGGTGAATAGCTAAACTATATAGTTAGCTATTACGCAGTTGGTTTTTGTTGGGGGCATCCTTACTTGGGATTGCCTATTTTTTTTGGTTGCTTGTGCATATTATGTACATAAACATTCTTGGATGATTATATCTATACATTTACATTTCATCCAAAAAAATAGATCTGATTTTGTTTCTGATTTCAAATTATTCATTGGGACTTGGGCAGGTAGGACTTGGTCCGTGCAAATCAGCAAATATATGCGGAGTATATGTTACATATTTACATATATAAGGCTATGCAAAAAAAATTACCCCTAATTTAAATTTTTTCAGATTTTCGGGACCCTGATACCCAAGCTCCATAGCCTTACATAAGGCACGACCTTAACAACGAAATATAAGACACTCAAAACGAAGAAGCATATTTATCATAAATAGAGTCTTGCATTCGAAATTTTGTTCAAGTTAAATGCTACACATGTTTTGCTCAAATTTGCAATGATTTTTAATTTCTGAGTAATATGTGCCTATTTGTTATTATTTTGTAAACGAAGTATAAACACAAGTTTTAGAACTCGATAAGATCTTTTCAACCAGATATAATACGCTTGATACTAGACGACATATATCAATATATGATAAAATCAAATACTATACGAGTTTGGAGTGAAACTGGATATGGTTATGGATTTCAAGTTCATATGTACCTACTCTTTAATATGAAGTAAATTGTAAATGAAGTCCGAACACTGGTTTTAGAAATCACAACGATCCTTTTGAGGTGATATAAAACGTTTCAAATGAAAGACCATACATCAAGATATGATCAAATCGAATACTTGGCCTGTTTTTTATGATACAACATTTTCAGAGTATATATAGCATATTTGACATAAATAGAGTCTTGGATTCAAAATACGGTACATAAAGTACCCATGTCGTAATAATTTGAAAACAAAGCCTGAATACGAGCTTTAGAACGTAAAAAGATCTTTCCAACAAGATATGAAACTCATCACATGCAAAACAACATTGAAATATCTGATCAGGTCAGTACAATACCTTTTCGTAATCAACGTGGTCATTATATTTAATTTCTGAGTAATACGTATCTATCCTCTGATATTTTGTAAACGAAGTCTGAGCGTATGTGTAAAAGCCTTAGAACTCGATAGACTCTATCGAAATTTATTCGTTCAATTCTTAGTGGAAGAGCCTAATGACTTAGTTGGTACACATGATAGGAAGAACAGATCAAATTGTCAATTACTCCCTCTATCCCATACAAAATTTTAAACTTTTCATTTTCATCCGGCCTAAAATAATTTTTCGCTTTTGTATAATTGTACAAAGTTCTTGGTTCATATCATTTTTTTCCTCTCCATAACTCTCTACCACGCAATTTTTTCACCTTCTTAATTTGTGTGTAAAATCAATTTGGAAAATTATGTTGGGACGAAGGTAATACGGAGTATGAGATTAAAAACTGATGGGCATGATTATGTTTTTATAGTTACCACAAACTTTCATTAGCGGGTCCTGCCATCCTGGCATTCCACAAGATAATGAGTTCCTCATTCATGAAATTCTTGACAAGAAAACCCCGTTAATTTTAAAGCATGAGTAGAAGTATTATTACAATTTATGTTATGTCATGCCCAAAAATATTCAAGTTCAGAAAACAACCTCAAAATCAGTGAACTTCCTTCGTCCCTACGACATTCAATTACAAATGCCCATTAATTCATTGCAAATAACAAATTCCCTTTAAATCATTCATCCAAAAGAAAGGACTTAACACGCGAAACCCAGAGTGATGTATGAATTTTGTGCATTGCTCGTAGTATTTAATATGAGCACAACTCCTCATGTTTGTAGTATATTTATATAATGTAGTACCATAAAAAACTTAGGTGCAAGTTAAATAAATTACACGAAGACATTGCTAGATTCATAGCTTGAGGTGTTACATGCAATTAACAAATTTGTTAAAATCGTATTTTTATATCGAACCGATATAGGATTCAAGAATCGAATCAATAAATGGAATTGTAAATTTTATAAAAAAAGTTAAATAAATATTAGGTAAAGGGTACTCACAATTAATTAGTTAAAGTTTATATTCAGATCTTAGATGTGTCAATTAAATTCGACACAAAATTAATAGAAATTTTAAAAATAATCACTTAACAAATAAATATAATGTTTTTATTAAAGAATCATAGAGTGTGGTAGGGAAAATAAATACTTCGTTTAATGTTTAATTAAAGAACATAAGAGTGTGGAAGAGGTTAGAAAAGGAGCAGATTTTTTCAAAAGCTCACTGCTTCCATGAGGCAGAAGCAGGCACAATCGAAGAGGGTACACTACAAAAAAACACGGAGTTAGTCACGGATTTAGTCACGGACCCTAGTATAAAAAATCCGTGCATGCTTTGGACATTGCCGTTTTGAATGAAATGTGATTTTACTTTTCTAAATAAAACGTTTTATTAAGTTCACCATTGCAATTATTAACAATTCCCCACTGGAAAGGGAAGGAAATTGCTCCTCTCGCTTCCCTATGTAAGGCTCGTCTTGGTGGAGTTGGTGCGAACAATGCAAAAAACTCTAAGATTTGTTCCCGACCAATTGCCCTATTTGACTAGGCTTGGTAAACTCGTGAAACCGCAAGGCATTGTGATTCAAAACGATTTTTGCGTTTTCAGAAGGAAAAAAACGATTTTGGAAATTTCTGACTTAGTATATGATTTGAATCAATTGTTACTTTGTGTCGTGAAATTGAGCGATTGTACAAGTTAAATCGCAATTTGAATAACCTTGATTATTAATTAATAGTAACACGATGAGGTTTGATGAATCTTTAAACTCACCAGATGTCACAGAATTTGCATATTCAAAAGGCCCCCCCCAATTAACCTGCAGTAAAAGGACTCCACAAAATTGAAATCACAAATAAATTTACAACTATAGTAGGTCTACCCCTCCATATCGCCGGGATAGAAGAAGCATATCATCATGGTAAGTGCAAACTTTCAAAGGTAAAGGCTAAGGAACAAAGAAGTTTCAACACCATTTTGGAATTTCTAGTTCTTTTCAACTCCTATCATTGAGTAGACTAGATAAGCCACTGGAATGGGAGCATCTCTGAAGCAGGAGTAGGTTGTGGAAGAGTCGTGGGACTATTACAAACGCTGCCATCCGACTGGGAGAACGGTGTGGCGGCCTTTGGCTGCTGTAGAACCCCTGACGGGGAAGAGACACTACTAGTCCCGGCCTGACTAAACGAATCCCCGTCATTTTGCTGTTGGCTGCTGCTCGGTTTCAGAACCTCCCCCAACGGCCCTCCCGACTCAAATGGAGCCCACAAAGAAAGGGGCGGTTTCCATGTTCCGATGTTGTCTCCAACAGTCGCCATTGGTGTGTTCGACCATACATCCTCCTCGGGATTGTTGAAATACACATTTCCCTCGCCCCCGTTGGTGTCGTCTTTAATTCTGCCAATCTGATCGAATTGGAAAAATTGGGGGGCGTTGTTGTAATTGTTGTTATTGTCATCGTCGTCATCCGCCCTTGTACCATTATTATAGGCACTTGTACCATTATTATAGAGAAGAGATGTATCAAAAGAGTTCATTCTTGTGTTTGTTGTGGTTGTGCCCATCAGTTGTTTCCATTGCTCCTCAGCTCCTCCCATTGCTACCATATCCCCTTCCATCATCTTCATCCAGTCAAAACTCCTGTGGTTTAAAATAATCCACACACAAAATAGGCTGATTTAATTAATATGCCCAAACATAGATGCATGCCATCACAAATACACAAGTCAAATTTGAAATAAAAATTTGAAAAAAACTGCCTGCACGAAATTTATGTCCAACAAATCAAATGTTACAAGGAACTAATAGTCTAATACATGTAAAAGTGCATGCAGGATTGAAAATTTACCAGAGTTGTACTTTATTAAAGTTAAAAAAACTGTACAAAAAGAAGTGTTTTTTATCAAAACATGAGAAGTACTAGTAGTTATTATGCCTGAGAACCCTTTTTCCTACAATCTGTACATGACTAGAAATGCCTAAACAATAGGAATTAAGGTCTTGTTTGGTGAGAGTCCTTCTATCATGGTTGAACACTTGAATTTTGTGAAACTTAATTGTTACTGACCTTCAATTCAAGCAAATGCCCAAGTCAAAAGCAAGGATACAACAACAATAAAACAAAACCGAGAAACCACGGGATGGATTCTAAAAAAATGAAAATATTAAGTTATTTTCATTTCATTATCTTTATCTAATCTTTATTTCTCTCATACCTTATTATATTTATATGATGATGATAAAATATGTAAAGAATAATTAACACTTTATAATTGAATAATAACAATTGCATAGTACCATAATTTCAAAATCAAGTACTACCACATTTCCTAACATATTTTAAAATCGACTCAAATTTAGTTAGATTTGAGCTAAAAACAGGAGTAAGAAATCACTCGTTTTTAGGAATTTTACCAAGAAGAAACAGCGCTTAATCCAAACGGCTCAGCCTAACCCACTGATCAGTTGGTGGGTTGATCAGACCCGGAATACAAGATAGCCTAGATGGCTAGACCAGACCAGACCAACCGAACCGTTAGTGGGTTGGTTACCCATGATGGGCCGACCCCGAATACAAGATAGCCAACCCAGGCCCACCGAGCAGTTGGTGGCTAGATCAGCCGTGAAGGGCTGAGCCGGAAAACAAGATAAACCCATCGATGGGCCGAACCGGAAAGACCAACCCAGAATCCAGGACCGCGATTGGGTTAAGAGGAAAAGCTGACCAACCTGTGCGATTCACTGAAATTGGAGAGCGAGAGCTTAAGCTCCTTCATATTAGGATCATCAAAAGACTGGGTTCGCTTGTTAGGAGATCCAGCCATAAAGTTTGACAGAGATGGTGAATCAGAAGATTGAATCGGAGGAGGAGGTTGAAGGGTGCGGCTCTTCTTGGAGGCGGTGTTCCCGGCGGCGGCGGCGGCGGCGGCGGGGGCGGCGGCGGGGGCGGCGTGATGATCTTCCACAGGCTTTCTTGAACGGGGACGGCCTCGGTGCAAATGCCGCTCACAGTATTTCTGGTTAGGCGCCACCTCTTTGGCGCACCTCCATTTCTTGCCATC